CAAGGCATATGCCTTCGGCTCGACTGAGCCGCTTGGCCAAGTTCGGGAGCTGTAGGGGCTGAATAGCCGTACAGCAGTCCTTCGGTTCTACTGAACCGAAGGGGTCCTGGGGCCGAAGCTAGCCGAAGGATCGGCCGAAGCTACGGCTAGCTCCTTAGGCTGCTTCGTGAATAGACCCCTAAATCTTCACTACAGATACACAGACAGCAATAAAAACTTGACAAAGACCCTAACTTTTCCCCACTGTCCAAAAACAACAATTTGAAAAAGAAAATAGTTTTATCTTCAATTTCATCTAATTGGAGCTGATCTCCTAAAGTGTCTTTACAGCCACCTACTGTCTCTAAGTACTTAAGAGATGGCTGCATGGGATGTCCCAGGGAGAGTTTAATAAATGATTGATGACAACAGTAGACACCAACATGTGTTAAGATGGTTACTTGCAGTCTTCATTGGAAAGCCCATGCGACAATGTAGGAACACAATAAGAAGAGGTGAACAGAGCATTGTCTCCTTACACCAGAAAGTGTACATATACTTTAAGCATACATTTTGAACTAAAGTTTGTTGTAAAACATTATTTGGACAAAACAAAATGTAAAAAACAGATATAATTATGATATAAAAAAATTGAATCAACCACAAACATTGTGGCTGATGAGTTCTCACCAAGCACCAGAGTGCCTAAAGTTTGATTTTGTATATTGTAATATTGGCTCAGCATACAGCCACACTGCCCCAACACCTACCAGAGCTGAAATTATGGTCCTCCTGAGATGAAGACACTAGACTTGTCTGTGCCAGGATGGTACAGACTAGTTTCTGTGATCTGCATTCAATTGATTTACTCATTAGAAAAACATATTCAGGTTCACTATGTTAACACTTAATCAAAACACTGACAGCATATAGAGAACAGTAAAAGAGAAGATTGTTATAGATATATAAATGAATCACAATATCATGTAAGCATCTTCAACAATATAATGGAAGATATGAAACTGCTTATTGAAAAATAAAGCATTCTAAGTTAATGAGCTATGTTTGTTTATTACATATGCAGACTTCACCAGAGGGACAGTCTAATGGTTGTGTTTCACTCCTCCCTTCTAGATGTATATGGACAGCTCTATAATTGTAAAAGTGCTCCTGGGCAGAACATTTCAGCTCAGGTTGTATACAGTCTTTCCTTAGGAAATGAACTATAGACCTAACTAAGCTTTTCTGCCTTCTAGATATAGATGTGGTTTTTAGTCGATAATCCACTTTAGATATAGGTTTATTCTATAACGGACTTTATGACAGTAGTAATTCATTAAGTATATTGACCAAACTGTCTGACACTAGTTGCTAGCAGGTGCATCTATCACTCAGCATTTATCATCTGACTGTTAAAATAAATAATGTGAAATATCCAAATGATATATCATGAATAATGAATAAACTATATTAACACAAACATTCCTCTCCTGTGTTTTTTTTTTAGGAAAGGATGTGTCTTATCAGAAGTTTGGAGTTGACATGAAGACTGTGTCAGAGATGAATTATATGGAGAGTGATGACATTCCATCATCTGCACTGGATCTAGAATGGGACATGGAAACAGAACTGGAGGAACTTGGATCTGAGCACTTTCAACCTGACAACTTTGCTAACCATAATATAAACAGTGCAATAAATAAGCCGCATATACCTACCTCCAGTCAACTGTCCACTTCTCCCAAGGGCCGTTTTCAACGTTTAGAAGAGGAACCAGAATACTTTTCCCATTGCGCGCATTTAAAAACAAAGACCTCAAAGGACTTTTGTACAGTTATGAAAGCATTTTCTATAGTTATGTTTACATTTATCTTAGGAATTTTAGTGGGCTATTTTTCAAAGACAATCCCTTCCTCAAGTAATTGTTTATTATTAAATGAACTTACAACTTCAAGTGAAATCCACACTATAAATGAGATATTAAATGATATCTCTAAAGAAAATATTGAAACTCATTACAGGTATGTACACTTTCATTGTTAATTCATTAATTTATCTGTGTAGCCGTAAGAGTACTAGACAAATGTTAGTTTTTGTTATGATATATATAATATGCATAGTGCCTGGTTCCTTCTGAGTAGTAATTCTAGATTATAATATTACCAGCAATAAATCTTAGGAGTATCATCTAAGCCAGGGGTGGCAAACACAAGGCCCGCGGGACCTTGTAATGTGGCCCGCACAGCGCAGGGGTGTGGAATTCGTATCGCCCGACGCCCGGGACATGTAGTTCCGGGCGCCGGGCAAGTGGTTTTTGCACTGTTTTAGCCCTGCTACGGACAAGTAGCAGGGCTGGCTTTCTTTGAGCGCCGAGAGCGGCGCTACAAGCGGGGGAGGGGGGGGCGTGGAGCGCCGAGAGCGGGGGGCGGGGACGGAGCG